TACACGCGCTTCGCTCACAGCAGCTATACGACTTAATAATAATGTTTATTTTTCACTCGACTGTTATGAAAGAAAATCGAAACTTCGCACACAGCCCGACGCGAGCTTGCGCAAGCCCGGAGAAATTCTCCTCGTCGAGTCCGCATGTGTAATTACACGCATCTCGTATTATCAAGAGCGAGCGGCGGCGGCGGCGGCGGCGGCGGCGGCGGCGGCGGCGGCGTTAAATGACCTTTTAGCCGGGGCCGGTATTCCTCACGTAGCTCGCTCGAGTGCTGTATGGAAATTCGCTCTTAGTTTTCGCGCGCGGAGCTTAATTATTGCTCTCTTCGCGACCTGCGCGCGTCTATGAAATTTATTTATCCCTAAAACTTCGTTGGCATTTATAATACGATCCGTGCGCGAGAGAGCACGAGGAGTTATACAAGCCAATTTCTGGGCTACAAGAAATTAAAAAAAAAAAAAAGAAGTAGGGATGAAAATTATCAAAGTCCGCAGTTAGCCCCGGTAGAGCGCACATATAGGACGACGGTAGTATGGCCTGGTAGTAGTAGCAGCGGCGGTAGACGATCGAGATAATTGCCTTCGTAGTTATCAGTAGGAATTAATCGCGGCGTATATATTATATAGTCGCGGTGACTCGGCTCCTCTTTCGCTTGGGCTCTCACAGGCAATCACGGATTTTCTTCGTTATTAAAATCTTATCGCTGTATTTATTAATATTTCCCTGCCATTACCGCATGGCATAATAATCTCTCTCAACGTCTTATCCCGAGAAAAAACAACATCGTATACCATATATATACATTAGTATATATTTCCAATATATACTAATTGGAAATTTTTTTGCCACTTGCGGATTTATGGTACGCCATCTGTTGAGAGAATCAAAAAGCTCAAATCATAAAATCTTGTTACACTACGAAATGAATACTAAAATAAACTAATTTTGAAACAGCTATAAGAAGTGATATTTTCAGAAAATTTCACAAAGAAATTAAAGTTTAAGCAAATAAATACATTCAATTTAAAGCATCAAACGTATTTACATAAAAGCTGGAAAGGTTTACTTTTTACATTTTTTTCCTCAAGATTACATCAACTTTTTTTTTCATTTACAATGTTTTCAAATTTAATATTTTAATCAGCATGAATTATTAATGTGTAGAGGATTATTTCCTCGTTAAGCTTTTTATTAATTTATAAAGTTCTAATTTTATTCAATTCATTTACTCGTTTTCGTTTTTTTTTCACGGATATCTAACAGAAGTAATTCGCATAAAAAAAGTCTCAAGAATTCCAAGGAATTAAAATCATCGCGAGCAAATCCTCGACGTTTAAAATTGTACTTCACATTCCCCCTTTTTTTCTTTTTCTCTCTCGTTCCATACATTACATTGTGTGCCTTTACGTATGTACTACAACACGTGTCTCCTTGTTCTCCATATATCCCATATATACCCCCATCTCTCTCGCTTCTACATTTCCGTCTTTCTCGGGGATCCTAACTCACTTTGTCGACGAGACGTTTAGCAAGGGTGTCAGTCTGGCAATATCCACCCAAAACACACATACACAAAGACACACTTGCGCATATATGCATACAGTCGGTGCCGAGTTTCTGAATTAGAAGCGCCCGAGGCGCGCAGTACAGTATTACACGTATATAGAATAATGCTTTACATATGTGTGCACGAGGACGCGGCCAAAAAACACGTACGTGTATGTATTTCGTCCTTAACTATTCGTCGAAACTCGACGTTTATGCGTTGAATATAATATAGAAAATTCGCACGCGCGGACACACACACACAACTTGTAAACTCGTTCGAATTAGTTAATTGCAGAGTTCCCGTGCTGTGCTGTCCACGAGAGCTTTGGCTAATCAGCGGGTATATAACTTGCAATATATATGTGTGTGTGGCACAAGAGTAACAAAGTATATATGGGGGTGGAGAAAGGAAATTAAGTCCCTTTTATAATAGGCGCCGCGAAGCTTGTAATTCGAAATGTTCGTGGGCGATACGTACGGGTACGTATATACGTATTTGTTTTGCCGCTGCGCCTCCAGGCAATGTAATCCACCGGCGCACGAGTTCGATTGAAACTTCGGACGCGCCGGCTCATACGTCGATTCTGCTGCTGCTCTGTAATTATTGTTTTAACGAGTGTTTGATAAACAATCGTGTGCAAGAATACACACGGCGGCGGCACACGTAATACACTACCCGACGTACGGCGCATATGTAAACGCGAATTTCTCATTTCAACCGTTCGTACACGGTACGTATGCTGTAACGTATATTACACTCGAATAAATACACGTATGCACTTTGAGGCTCGTTACTACAAGCCGTTCTCGCTCGGGCTCTTTAATACACCCACTCCACTTGCAGCAGCTCCGCTATACAGCATCGGAGTGCGACGAATTATTAAGTTTAAGCTCACCTGAGCTTTGTAAATATAAATTTCCACGAGTGCGTCGGCACCCAACCCCAGTGCGGATTCCGTTGCGAAGAGTGAGCGAGAAACTTTTGCCGTTTGAGCTTTCGTACCTATTTATAATGCACGTTGATGGTGACGATGTCGATGACGATGAATTTATCATTTCGTTTACTGACCTATACCCTTTTTTTTCTTCTTCTCGTTTTATTTTCAACCCGCAGCGGCAGCGATCAAACATCAATTTTCCAGTCGGAGTAATCCGCGCTGGGCATAAAAAATTCTCTTCGCCTCGCTCGCTTCCTCGGCAGCGAGCTTGCAAATAAGGGGGGTGAGTGAGGTAAAGCAACAAGCTCCTCTCTCTCTCTCTCTCTCTCTCTCTCTATCTCACTCCCTATTTTACATCATCGAATGATCGGGTATAGCTACTGCCGCTTCCACCGCCACTGCTGCTGCGAAAGGCTGATGGCCTCGGGCCGTGATTAATTAAATCGATGGGTTAATTAGCGCTTGCGCCGGACGATGGGCGCGGCGTTGGCGGCGGCGGTTTCATTAGAGCTTGCTTGCTTGCTTGCTCTGGCTCTACCCCCGTGAGGAATTTCGCACAGGAGTGCGAATGTAATATATAGCGTGGGAGAGAGAGAGTCAACGCCGCGAGTGCAATTTCCCAGCAGCGAGAGATGCGACGACGCGCGCTCTCTTTATATCCCTAAATTTGTTTTTTTCATTCGTTTTTTGCCTCTTTAATAATACAAATTTTTAATTTTTTTCTGTTTCAGGTAAGCTCGACACACATGGCACTTACAGCACTACCAGATGATATTGAATAATGCACGTAAGTCGACTTACACGATACGACGTTACATATAAAAGAATTCCGCTCGCTCGAACACGCGTCAATTTCAATCAAGGCATGCCCTTACCGCCCACGAGAGCGTATTTTATATATCATTATATATATAGCACTCTCCGCTATATACCATCGGGTCGCGCAGAATCCCGATCGAAAAATAGCTCACTAGGTGCTAGCTGCTGCTGCGCTCGTGTTATATATATGCGGTACGCGCGCAGGACGTGTAATTCCGGTCTGTGTCACACGAGCTACACACAGACACATACGTAATAGCATGTATACCACTTTGTGTGTGTGTATGGGTGGGTGTGCAACGCGCAGCTATCCACACCGGCAGCTGCAGCTGCAGGGCAGAGAAGCGCCTAGCTAGCTACCTACCTACCCTCCCGCTCACGCGCCTCAACCCCAACAATGCATCCATTGTTCAACCTATATGCTGAGGCCTATATCACTACTCTCGGGGAGTTTCTCTCTCGCTTTCTATTGTGTGCTACGTACGTGCAGCAAGTGGAACAGACCTTGAATATCTTCTACTTCTTCTTCTTCTTCTCTTTCTCTCTCTGTCTATCTCTCTCTCGCTCTACCAGTGGTACGAGTCTAGCTTTGGCGCGGCGAACTTTGACTTCCTGACGTCTTCGCAGCTAGCTAGAGCTACAGCTAGAGCTGCTATGTGCACTATGTACGCGCAGCTGCTGCTGCTGCTGCTTCCGTCGTCGTCTCGTTTTTCCTTTTGTCTGTGTGTGTGTGTGTGTGTTGCACGCCTATGCGTAGTTGTATATAGCGTACACCGCATCTTTTGGCGCGGCGTGGTTTATAATGAAGCTTGTGTAGCTGCTGCGCGAGCGAGGCGGTGTAGTACAGAGTTGAAAAGGGAAAGCACAAAAATAAAGTAGCTTTTGTACGCGTTTTTTTTTGTTTTTGAATCACGCGGTGCTTACAAAGCACGCCTATATAGCAATCGTATCAAAGCTCAAGGGTATACGCGCTGTACAGCATTTTTTATTTAATTTTTATTTTTCATTTTTGTACTTCATTGAAATGCACTCGCGCGCCGCGGCGCGTTCGTTCGATAAGGGTTTCAAGTTTCTTTGCGAAAAAATTGCAGGAAAAAAGCTACTGCGAACCAAGACACGAACCCCGCGTTCTTTCCGTTTCTTTTCGCGGCCTCGCGTCTTTCTATCGCATTTCTCATCAATTAGCCAAGCTTGCACTCGAAGAAACTCACTCGAGCTTCCCTCGAGTCAAAAATTATTATAAGTAAGAAAAAAGCTCGGCAATCATCAAAAAAGCTCCCAAAAAGCTCACCCCCATGCGATATCGCTTCAACACATACTTAAAGCTCGTATCGTCATGGATATTATACGGGGTTAAAGAAAATCAGCAGCAACAGCAGTGGCAGCGGTGGCACACTAGCAGCAGGCAGGCAGGCAGGCAGCAGCTTATAGGTCTGGAATATATGTACGCTTTTTGCGCGGCGCATGCGCTTCGTCGTCACAGTCGTGTCCAACACACGTTATATATATCTTTCTCTCTTTCGCGCGCTCTCTCTCTCTCGTGTCGACTGCCGCCGCCGCCGCCGCCGTTGCTGCACTTGTCTCACTCTCTCTGCGTTTTCGCCGCGCGGCACACTACCACTGTAGCTAGCTGCTGCTGCTGCTGCTGCTGGAGAGAGAGAGATACTAGTTAGTCCGCGAGAAGCCGCCGCGCGAGTTGCACGGCCGCCTCCGTATATATATCGACGTTCGGTCGCCGTATATATATCGAGTGTGTAGCTATTTTTCGACTCCGATTCTCGAAAATATCATCCATAAACCCTTCCTTTACGCTGCTGCTGTGTATGTGTGCATGTGTGCTGCATCCGAAGAAGAAGAGAAGCGACACTGCAGCGCGCACCGTTACAGCCTTTAAACTTCTATATTTGTATGGTGCATCGAGAGGGGACTATTATTATCGTTGAAGTTATGTGACGTGGTCCCGTAGTTGTGGTGCAGTTTTCCAAGTGTTCCGTGTAGCTTCGTGGTACGATACAATACGCAAGATCGCGTTTATCAGTGTAATTTATACCAAAGTATCGAGGAAAGAAAAAATCGAGCTTTTATCGCTGTCGCGATCTCACGCGCAAGCACGATGATGGTAATAAGTCAAGGGTGTTTGTCAGCCTTAAAAATGTATTAATTTCGCAACCTCGAACTTTTGCGCGTGCTCGCTCGCAAAGGGCGCGCTGCTACTCGACAACAATGGAATTAGAAAATTAATTTTCGCGTTTTACGTGGACGAACTTTAAAACGCGCGTGTACTATACGAATACAGAGGTACTAAGCTTGCAGCATACGTACGTACGTATATACCTGCGCGCTGCACACGTGCTGTATACATGATACGATAGTTGGATAATCGAGTTTATATACATATATGTACGAAACTCGAGGAATACACGGAGAATATAGTATACATAATTGTCTCTATGTTGCTAAAAAAAAATATGAAATAAAAGAGAGAGGAATAAAATAACCAACAGAAATGTGACCAGTGTATAACGAGGTTAGCGAGAGGAGATAAAGATTGAGCAACCCCGAGATTGAATTGAATTTATATCGAGATTTTAATTAAGAAAAAAATAGCAGAGAGATAGAGAGCGATTGACGCTTATCCAACGCGCCACAATGAAAAACCGATAAACAAATATAATAAACACAAGAGAAAGAAAATCAATCTGACAATTCTATGATCCGTATCTTTTCTTTCTCTCTCTTTTTTTTTTTTTTGCGTTCCCAATTAAGCCGTTGATGCGCGTTGTTTCTCCCTTTCACGAATACAAAACAAAATATATAAAATAAAAAACAAAAGTAGGAGCAGCAGGAGTAAAAAAAAGCCAAACGACAGAAACAAATAAAACGTGCACAGTGTGTGTATACGTATTGTGCAAGAGGAATGAGTCTCTCTCTGTCCTCTGTCTCTTTCTCTTTCTCCTCATTGTTGTATGTATACAACAAGTACTATACTATATGTCGGGTCCGTATACACATACAGTAAACAGGTGGATTGGACGAGAGAGAGAGAGAGAGAGACGACAAGAGATATGTACGTGCGCGCGCGAACTTTTACGTCATTCCGGCCGACTTGGCAAGAGCGACGGAGATATAGGCAATGATGTGTCGCATTGTATACGATCGCGGACACAGACACGTAGAACACACATACAGGTGTGTGTATATAGGCGTCGCAAATGCGCTTCTGATTATTAATTAAATACCCGTGTCGGTGTATACCTCGTATATATGTATAGCTGCTCTGCGCTACGCGACGCGTGAAAAGCCTCGTAAAATAGCTCTATGAGCGAGTGCCGCTGCTGGTGGTACGATACGGACTAACACGCACACTTCGTGTTTGTATAGACAGGATATCATCCGATTTTTATGCATTCTTTTCAATGCGGCGTTATTTTTCGGGTTGATATTATTTTTGTTGTTTTTTTTTTCTATACGTATAAACGTATTCAAGCTGGCACAGCTACTGCTGTAAAGTACGCGCGCGTAATCGATCCGATGTGTGTGTGTGCGCGCAGTTTTTTTTTTCTTTATTTTTATTTTTTATCCTTATACCTCTCCTCCTTTTTTTTCGCAATACTCGTTGAATTATCGCTGCAGTAAAACGAATATTATAGGTAGTGGTCGCGCGCGCGCGCGCGGCCAAGCGAGCCAAGAACTAGACTCTCTCTCTCTCTCTCTCTCTCTCGATACTTGGGCCAAGATTTATCGAATGACCGAGAGAGCGAGAGGTGGGCATACACACACACACGATTGCGTATTTTATTTTATCTTTTTTATTTTATTTTTCTCTCTGTCGTTTAATACTCGTCTATATACTATTCGATCGTAGTCGTCGTCGGGGAAGGTCGTGGCGTCGAGAGCGTGGAGTAGGATTTAAGCCGATGATTATTAAAGCGACGTCGTTGACATTAACGCGCAGCTCGTCGTGTGTGCAAAGAAATGAAAGTAGATTTCATGTGCTCGCGACGCGTTATATAGCCGAGTGCGAGGTGATGTATATACGCGAGCGTTGACTAAAATCGTTGAGAAAGATTTACGAGATTGTCCTCTCTCTCGTTCGTTCGGTCGAGTGTAACAATCGCGCGCTAAAAACTACGAAGAGCAAACCGAATAAAATGAAAAAAATTAAAGCAGATGGCGGTGTATATAGAGGAAATTTCCTCGGCTACAATAGGTAATTAAATAACTTTTCAAGCCGTTCGGGATACGCGAATGAGAGAGAGATAGAGAGAGCCGGTGAAAATTTGCATTTTAACCGAACTGCTACGTTAGTAGGTACGTACTATATAGCGACGGCGCGACGGACCCGAGATATACTCAGGAGTAAGTAAAGTAAAAAAAAAACGTACGCGTAGATTTACGTGCTCGCTCGTAAAGTCGATCAAAGTGCACACACCGAATTTGTGTATTTTACTCGTTTTTTTTTTTTTTTTTTTTTTACTTTNTTTTTTTTTTTTTTTTTTTTACTTTACTCTCCCAGTCCAAGGTTGTACCGTACATCTACACGTTTGATTGCTGGATTTTGTGGGCTAAGAGAATTTCCTCTCGCTCTCTCGCTTGCTCTCCACCACCACGATTGTAAAGCTCGCGCAGTCATTTCGCTGAGTGCATCGTATGATTTTATCGGCTTTCATCATTGAAATTGAATTTCGGAATCGCGCGTAGTTTATTTTGTTTTCTTTTTTCTTTATATATTTAATTAAATCTTCAACCGCGCGCGCGATATCGAAATAAAATGAAAAACAAAGTAACCCACCCGCGCGCGGCACAGGGCCGCAATCATTCGTATACGTAAGGTATATCGATCGGGATATGCGCGGGTATCATAGGATGTACAAAAAAATAAAGTCTGTATACGTCCGTACGCATTTCCCATGTGTCACTCAGTCGCTCGCTCGCTCGCTCGCGCCTATATATGCCGAAGTCTCTTAACGTATATAAGTTTATAGACATTATCGCCGACGACAGGCACGTCTCTTTCTTTCTTTCTCTCCTTCTCTAATAATAATCACGACGCGTATATCATATACACACGCGTGCGGAAATGAATCTTCTTTTTCGCTCGACGGCGCGCGGATGTATCTATATGTATCGGGCGTATCGGCAGTGCGCGGATTATCGTATAGGCCGCGCCGAAACTTTTATACTCGAGATATAGATACAAAACGAGCGATAATTCGAAAAATGTCACTGACTTTTCGCTTTCGATCGTTTGTATAAGAAAACGTATACACTTGGTTATACGCCATGTGTATTAACGCGTCGCCGCAACGTCGCGACTCCGACGACGACCGACGTAAAAATATCTTCTCCGCCAACTGAAAATAGAGTTTGTGTACATACATGCGTATGAGCGCGCGCGCGCATGGCAGTACCCATATACATACATAATATATAATATACACGAACACATGCACGGGATACACGACGTACGAAGCTTTGCCGTCACGCGTGTATATGTATGATTATGATGATTATTATTATTATTTACGCGTCCTTTGACTCGTCGAGTCACGACCAGAGAGAGAGAGACAGACAGATAGTTTCGTCGACCGCTGCTGATGCTACTGCTTCTGCTTTGCCGTATAACAAGTTTCGCGACTATATACAGAGAGCTAGAGAGAGAGGCTAAGTAGTAGCCCCGTTATCAATTAACTAAATGACGTCTTTGACAAAGAGAGAGAGGCCTTCGTTCCCCGCACATTATTACGATTGCTCGCGCGGCTCTACTTTGCTTTTAATGTTTTAACTCCTACTATATCGTTGGTCATGTAATATATAAGAGCTGACGATGAAAAAAAAAAAAAAATAAAAAAAAGCTCTCGCAAGCCTCGAAAGTGAAATATTATAAGCGCATACATGATGTATACGTATAATGTAACACCGAGGCAACTCGAAGCTTACTCCAAACAGATTATTACTACGTGCATCGGCAGCTTTAGTACGACGTAGCAGCGCGGGTTTCCTCCGAGTACATATAAGCGGATTCTCGCGCGCGTAACAAACGCAGTCGTCGTCGTCGTTGTCATTGCAGCGGTATACTAGTCTTCCTTTAGCGTACATAATAATATATGATCGGTATTATACTCACACACGCGCACTGACACACGAACACTTATTATACGTGTGCAGCAGAACCCGGGAAATTCATCATACCGATCCGAATCAATTATTATTAAATGCAGGGGGTCGTCGCGTCTTCGCCACACATATACATAGCTCGAGTATTATATACGATATATCATATCCGCGAACGGCTGTAACACCCCCGTATACCTAATTAACAAGGGCTTATAAGGTTTATAGGATGGGGTGGTGGCGGAGTCCTTTGGTATTTCTCTCTCTGCGGGTGCATGTGCCGCTATTTGCGCGGCGAATATTTATACGCGGGGAAAAGTGTATAGTAACGGTATGCGTCGCGTGTCTGCGACCAATAAAGCGACTTTAAGTTGGCTTTTATATACACGTGCACATACATACACATACACACGCGTAGTTGTAGTATGCATATAGTCGAGTTTAAAAGCATCAAGACTTTTATCTCTCTGTATGTATATTCTCTTTTACGTTTAAGAAAGTCACTTCTCTCTGTGTGTGTGTCTCTCTCTCTTTTGGTTTTGAAAGTGACACACACACAGAGCGAGAGAGCGACTTTGTGTGTGTATATGCGTATGGGATATATACAACAGCTAAGAGTGACTATTTTAAGCGAAACGTTGTGTATGTATGTGTGTGTATAAATTACGGGGCTCGCTTCGCGTCGCCTGAGCTTGGGCACTTCGTCTTTTTGGGGTAAAAGAGAGAGAGAGAAGAAGGCGGTTGACTCCATATACGCGCCGTATAGCACACGAGTACACCCAAATACGCTGTATATTCTATGCCGCGCTTTGATTCAACGCAATTTTTCGAGGGCAAAGCTCGCACAAAGCTCGAGAAGCATCGGGCGCATATACACATGTATATAAGCCCGAGCGTATGTACCACCCTTGACTTTAATCATCATCATCATCATCGCGTAAGTTATTTATGAATAAAACGATGCAGATAAGGGAAAAAATGCGACAAGTGGAAGAAGACGCCGAGGCGATCAGCTGCGCCTGCAGCCGGCGACGACAACGACATTCGTGTCATCGCGAGACGACGAACTAATAATAATAATACACGAGAGTGCGCCAGAGCTTTTTGCTTATATCCATCGTCGGGAGAGATATCGACTTGCAGCGACGAAATAGGATAATAATAAAAAAAGGAGCAGAAGAGAAAAAAAACAACAAGAAACGCAGCTTTGCGTGCGTATCGTGTGTGTAAGTTTGTGCGCAAGTGAGTGGCAGCATCGATTTCGAGGTATTTTTCACAAAGTAGATAATTTTGATCTCGTCCACGGCGACGAGAGCAAAATAAACAGCAAACCGCTCAAATGGTGCAGCCCGTTACCACGGAGAACAACAACTCCGCCCTCGACATGGAGTCGCTCGAGGAGATGCTTCGCAAGGTAATGCCATTTATTCATAAGCAACTATTTTTTTTTCCCTAAACATTAAAAACGCAGCAGAATACATGTCAATAACAACAACGTCGTACGGTTGATGTTTCGTACGGTTACATATTATACACTATAATATCCACGATAAACGCTTCTGCACTCGAAAAAAAGAATTTAACATGGTGTACACATACCGTAAGAGCCTTTTTAACGTCAGTCGCTCGCAGTAGCTTGGCTGTGCGTTTGTTGTTGTGTGTGTGCACAGCACGAGAAGCTGAAGGTAAAAAGCAGAGCAGCAGCGGCAGCTCGTCAAACGCTTGGATTTTATACATGTATAGTACGTATATTAAATGCGCGCGGGACTAGAGAGAGAGAGAGAACCCGTATAGCACTGACGCACTGACATTTTTCATTTCCTTTTCCTCGCAGCTCTTGCTGCTCAGCTAAACTCTCTCTCTCTCTCTGCATCAGACCTTCGTTCCTCCGAATTTCACTATTTTCGTCTTTCTTTCTTTCTTTCTTTCTCTCTCTCCGTTTTGCGGCGCTGTACAGCGTGTTATATATGACACATGCGCGCTCGTAAGGATTGTTTTCTTTTTTCAGTCTCTGTGCACACTTTGCGCGAAGCTTATCCTATATTTTTTTTCCTGTTTTCTTGTTTTTGTTTTTTTCGTTTCGTTCATTTTTCGTTACTTACACGCTGCGGCATCGCGCGAGGCTCTTATATTTCCGTCCCGGCGCAGTGATATAGTCATGGTAAAAAAAAGAAAAACAGCAACAACGACACAACGCTGCTGCAGTAAGCTGCGCACAGGGGCAATTTGTTTGTTGCAAGCATGCATGTATGCAAGCACACACGAACAAACTCGAAAGTCATATTTTCGAGCGGTGGCCCTCGCGCGCGCGAAACGAAAAATAGCTCGAAATTAAATCTTCCCTTTCGCCTCGGCGAGAAAAAGCCCCACGCGCGTGTATGTATGCGATATAAACACGTAAAGTGTAGCGAGCAAGCTATGCGCTATAATCCGTTATCCTGCCTGTTTTACTTAGTTTCCACTCCTTCACTTTCTATCTCTCACTACACCCTTCTTACCTTAGCCTAGGCATTTTAACTCTCTTCTTTTTTTTTCTCCTCCTTTCCCCTGTCGCTCCTTCGACGTAATGCACTCACTCAGCACCATCGCCGCATCGCACCGCGCGCACCACTATTTCTTCGGCCTCCTGCCACCGCCCGCACGCGAAAGAAGAGGACTCGATCACGTCAATTAAAATTCACTATCGGCAATTTTCGTGTCGCTCTCGTTTGCACTTGGCTGAATCGAGGAGTAGTATATAGGAGAACTTTTGCAAGCTCGAGCCGCGGCAGCGGTAGGGGCGCACCGCTGCATTGCACACACATAGCCCGCGGCAGGCAGGCAGGTAGGCAGGGAACGACGACGAAGAAGACAGGCGACGTTATATACTATATACTTTTACATGGCACGTCGCCGTCGAAGCCGATCGATTGTCGTCGGCTTGCTTGATTCTTTCGTTTCGGTTTTTTTTCTCTCCTTTTTTCCTCTCTATATCTTTTTTTGCAGCTCTTGTATGTGTGTGTGTGTGTGTGTGTGTGTGTCGTCTGTCGCGCATTCGAGCATTCTCAAAGAGAAATTATCGGATATAAAGAAGTATATAACATCGTGTGTGTGCGTGAGCAAAGTCTGACAGCGTGTATTAAAATGAATTTTACCTCTTTTGCATTAATATCCTTCCCCACGGCCGCCCGAAAGCTCCGCTCTGCACCCCCCGACCTTTTATCACGGCGATGAACTATTAAGCGTCATTTTCTCTCAACTCTTCAACCGTTCGCAATAATCCCAAGCCATATCTCAGTGTCCTCGATCTTCTCTCGCTGGCGCTGTTATACTTTTTTTTTTTTGCCCCGACGGAAATATTCCAGGGCCTAAAGCTTTTCGCGAAGCGAGCGCGGCGGCACAGACGCACCAAAGCTCCGAGAGAGAGAGCTTAAAAAAAAAAAAAAAATGACATCGTTCGGCTGCGGAGCTCTGCGAGCGAGCACTTTGGCTGCTATAACGCTTTGTCGGAAAATCGTGCGAATACATCAAGAGCGGCTCTGGCGCTGTTGCTGCCACTGCCACTGCGCCGCGTCGGTGTAACCATCAATATAAAATAACAACAAAGCGAGAGACAGCTCTCCGCTGCGCAGCGCCGCGCAAACCCAACGAAAATGGATACAAATAGCTTCAGCGAGTTATTTTATCAATGACGTAGTCTCGCTCTCACATACGCACGAACTTAATGTTTATTACACACACTCACGTGTATACTAGCGCGACGAAAATTGCAGTTCCGGACGGCTGGGGGCTCATTGCTTTTGCACACTCCAAGTTGGGTATCGCGCGTATTGTGTACGCGTCTTGTTTCATAAATTATACGAGAGAGGATAATGCCGGCCGTGTACATAATGCGTGTAATGGATTGACTTTTGCGGAGCAATGACAATGACAACAGCGACGACGACGACGACGAGAGTGTATTATTATATTCGGCTATACAGCAGATGTAATAATTCACCCGCAACTCTCGACGAGCAGTATATAGTGTACCACTCGCTTTAATACAATTTATCGACGCTTATTCGTGTACTGGATATATATATTTTTGTCTCTATTTTTTTTCCTTTTTTTCGTTGATGTTGTTGCTATGTACTGTTGCTACTGCTGCTGCTTTTGATGGAAATTAATGAAAAGGCCGCACGTGAAGCTCTCGGGGGCCACGCGCGCCACACATACGCAGTCCATCCGTTATATTTTCGGTGTTAATATTGAAAAATCACTTTTTTCCCGGTGTATATAATATACACCTAGCTCAAACTCCCCTTCCACCACCATCACCCCCGCTGGCCCAATCTTTGTCACGCGTCACCTACGAGCAGACGCGCAATCATTCACCCGAAAACCGTACATGTGTGCCTGCGAGCTTGCGCGCAAGCTCGAACCGATCCCTTCCCAACGCGTAATTAAATTTCCCGGCGATCGCGTCAAAGTCCTCTCCAGCTGATCCTGATATATATTTCATATACGTATCACACGATCGGCTCTTTTCTAATCCCCTCTACTTGAAAAAAAAAGAAAAAGAATCGAAGCGCCTGTGCCTATCGAGAGATCGTAAAGAGAGCAGAAAAAAAATCTGAAATGGAGCACATTGCAATCATCGCGAGAGAAATGCTCTCGAGCAGCAGCCGGTCGATATTTTGTGTGTGTGTGTGTGTGTGTGTGTGTGTGTGGCACAATTTATAATCTATAAAGAATGAAGAAGGAGAATAAGTAGAAAAAAAGCTGCTTACGCCGGCCAAAAAAGCTCCAGCCTGTGCTCCATTTCGCGTTGCTCTCCTTTTTTTGTTCCTTTACTTTTCGGTACTTTTATATACCCAGGGATTACGCTCTTTCCTGGCCCTTCTCGCTCTCTCTCTCTCCCGTTTTACATACCGATGAGCTGCTGCTGCTGCTGCGTGGACACTATCAAAGACCGGGACTATGACAAACGCGACGAGGCAAATCTCATCAAAAGTACGTTATTATGTGCAAGTTATATTTACAACGTGCGACGGCGCGGTGGCGAGTGCGAAAGAGAGAGAAATAAATAACGCATTAATGCTCTCGCAAAGCTTTAATCTACTGCTTCTCGGTTCGGCCGAGCGAATACTGCTATATGTGAGAAACATGGCGCGGGGATAAATATCAAAGTTAAAAGCCATGTTCTCTCTGGGCTTCGTATATAATGCGGCTGCTGATGCTTGCAGCCTAACACTAGCTTTATATATACCGTCGCGACGCGCCCGAGAATATGGCACTTGGGCTCCGCTGCTGCTCATCATTTCTTTTATTTTATTTTTTTGTTGTCCATGCGACGGCGGGTGTTGTTGTTGTTGTTGCTGCTGCTGCTGCTGCTGCTTAGACGCACGTGACTATGGCACGGTCGAGTACTTTTTTTTTCTCTCGACTCTTGGCTCGCGCGCTCATCCGCTCGTATTATGCGAAGGGTGATATATGTATTTATAAGATTGAAAAATCCTCGAGACGAGAGTGGCTATGGGCTCGTCTGTATACGTGTATTTATCCACGTGCCTTATCGGATTTTCCCCACCGCCACCACCATCGCCCATCGCGCATTGTTTCGCGCGCGCGCGAAAAAAAAACAAGAGCCGAGCTTTCGACTTTTTGCCACCCCGGTGCGGTAAAGCTCGCAACTCGATCCGCATTATAATATTTAATCGAGAGATGCTGCTGCTGCTGCCGCGTTTCGTCGCGTACGCCCGATATATATCGATCAGAGAGAGAGAGAGAGAGAGAGAGAGCTTTTTAATATAATAATAATAAATCCTACCCTGCTGCTGCCGCGCGAGGCGCCGTGAAGCGAATAATTCATCGCGCGGTGGCTTCGGTGGGTGCCGAGCGAGCGATATTACTATATAGATTATATATAGACACGCACTTGTTATACGTACACACAATAGGCTGCTGCTGCTGCGGATCGTCGCTCGCTCGCGATCGCTTCAAAAATTGAATCGGTGCTAACGCCGCCGCGTTAATATTTATTCCCTTTATTTCTGCGCGCCACACCTCGTACGTATCCGCCGCTATCGCGATAAAGATTTTTTCTTCGTGCCCACCCTCGCGCAACAGCAGCAGCAGCTCTCTCTACATATTATCCCGAGATCCGCTTTCGTTCAATTTCGCTATTCTCTTCACGAGCGAACAATAAAAGTGTCAGTAACAGAGGCTGCTGCTTTTCTTCCGCTGCTGCTTATGTCTGTGTGTGTATAAAAGGGAGAGCTTGCGCGCGCGGGAGTGGATTCGCCCGTGTACGATTAGAAATGCTCGCAGGCTTCGCCTCGAAATGTGGTAAAAGGACTGTACTATACACGCGCGGACGTCCGGTGCTACATATACACACATCGATTTTGGCAATTTTCTAGACTTCGCTGTATAAACGCGCACACCCATTTG